GATCAAGCCCTGGTTGGGTGCGTGTCCTGATTCTTGTACTGTCTCCCCAGCCCTGGATATGTATTTTTAAAGATCTTGTTTTGTGTTTTGTTTAGCACAAGCAAAAATCTCTCTCTGACTCCTCTTTCGTTGTAGCTTAACTGTTAGAATCTTGAATTAGTGGGGTGGAGATTTGAAAGAGAAAACTGTGACTCAGCTGTGTGTCCCAGAGATTTAGAAAAGGTGGTACTGTTCTTCTGTCCTTTGCACATCCTCTTCATCCCCTAAGGTTCTTGGACATCTGTTCTTGCTCTATTCTTAGGCCCCTGTACTTCTCTTCACTCCAGCTAACCTGGTAGCTTTCCTATTTGGCCAGTAGAAGTGGAAATTTGCACAGACCTATTATCCATGTAATTTGGAATCTTTAAAAATTTTTGCACTGACAGAGCTTTATTGATCTATCAGATAGTTAAGAATAATTGTAATAACATGGAGCCTAAATTGTAGAATTCTCAGCAGAGTTCAGTTTATTCCATGATAAATAATATTTTTCATTTTTATTTATTGGAGTGGCGTGTGTTTGGGCCACACCTGAGTGTGCTTAGGGATTAGGGGTGGTGTTTGGGGACTCCTCTGCAGCGTTCACGACTTATTCCAGGGTCAGCAGTGTGCATGGCAACTCTCTTTTATTATTAATTTCTGATGTTCACTTTTGGAAAATTGTATCTTTCAAAATATAAGTGCCTTATGAGCAAGTTATTCCTTTTTGTCTTTAGTGTATTCATTCTTTTAATTTGTTGGTGGTAGCATAAAAGTACTATTTTTCTGAAAACCTGAAGAGAAAAACCTTTGAGCCACAAGTCTTGCATATTATTATTTTTTCTAATTGCCAACATTTATCTCTTAGGCCATTGAGAAGCAAGTCACCATAATACACACTGGCAACTATACCATCAAGAATTTCTTGAAATGATTTCAGTTATCTGGGTGCATTCTAAGTGTCATTTCTTAAGAATTTGGCAGTATGAACATATTTTAAAAATAGAAACTTAATAAAATTAAACTTTTATTTTCAGATAACTGTAGATTCACATGCAGTTGTAAGAACTTTGAAAAAGTCATGTACCCTTTATTTAGTAGGAATGTTTTGGAGAATAACAAGATAAAACTAAAATCAGGATTGTCATTGATAGAAACCACTAAACTTATTCTGATTTCACCAGTATTTCTCATACTCATTTTGCTTTTATTTTAAACAATTTTATCACTTGTATTTTCCAGTCAAAGTACAGAAAAGTCACATTGTCACAAATTGATCCCTATTGTTATCCTTTTATAGCTATACCCTGCATCTTGGGAAAAGTTTTGTTTTTATGGGGTTTTTTGTTGTTTTACTATGGTTTAGGTAAGATGGTTTAAAAGAGTGTTTAAGTTTATAGTACTATTAAGTCACTGCACATTACCACCACCAAAGTGTCCTTGATCCTCCACCACTGTTCTAATGTTACCTCATCATGTTTTTTTTAATGCCTGGTCATTTATGGTCTTGACTTAATTATTTTTGGAATTTATACCATATATTAAAAAATTTATTTAGCATTTAAAGTGACTATTAGAATGCTATAAAATTTACTATTGTAATTTGCAAGTGAAATTTTCATTTAGTATTGACTATATTCTCATAATTGTGTGATAGATAGCCATGTCTCTTTCTGGAAAACTCTGGGTACTTTATATAAGTGGAATAATTCAGTATTTTATTGTGGGAGACTAGTTTTAGTATATCTTCAAAGTTTATCCTTGTAGTATATGACAGTATTTTAAAAACTGAATAATATTCTACTGTTTGTGTATATGCCATATTTTGTTTATTCTTTTACCTTTCGGTGGACACTTTTCCCTTTTTGCTATTATGAATAATGCTGATAGTAAATAATGATGTGTAAATAGCTCTTCCTCATCCTGCTATTCATTGTTTTGTATATATACCCAGAAGTAAAAATGTTGGCTTATATGGTAATTTCATTTTTATTTATTTTTGCTTTTTGGGTCGCACCTGGCAATGCACAGTCACACCTGACCCTGCACGCAGAAATTACTCCTGGCGGTGCTCAGGGGACCATATGGGATGCTGGGAATTGAACCCGGGTCAGCTGTGTGCAAGGCAAACGCCCTATTAGCTGTGCTATCGCTCCAGCCCCTCATTTTTAATTTTTTTAAGGAACTGACTCATTGTTTGCATAGCAGCATTATAATTTTGCATTTCTACCAACATTTGTAATGTTTGGATAAATAAGTTATAATTTATCCATTTTTGCTCTAATTCATGGTTATTGATTTCTGCATTTAAGAATGAATACCATCACATAATAGCATATATTTTTAAGCTATTTGCATACCAAGGATGTTCTTACAGTTACTTTTAAACGCTTTACTTTTCCTTTAGGCTTTTCTTTCATTTTTTAGGGAGGGCATACTCGGCAGTGCTTAGGATTTACTCCTGGCTCTGCACTCATGGATCATTCCTGGCAGACTCTGGGGGTCTATATGTGGTCCATATAGTATGTTGCCAGGGATTGAGTTCTGGTTGGCCCCATGCAAGGCAAGCTCCTTACCCCCTAAACAAGTTAAAGTCAGCAGCTCTTTTAACTATCACAGTCACCTTAAAATGAGGAATTTTACTGCAAGGAATTAGGAGGCTACCATTGAATCAACAGGTATTTATATGGCAGGACTGAAAGTCACTGGAATAAAGAACTTGGTTGTCTCTTATCTTTGATGAATCTAGTTTTCTTTTGTTCAAAATAGGTTTCCTTGTTGATGAAATGACTGTGTTGGGTACTTGGTCCCAATGCAGAATTCCCAAGGAAATAATTCCTAACTATTGGCCAAGGTTGGATCATTCTCTCACCACAAGTATTATCAGGGAGATAGAGTCCATGCAAGGACTTAGCAGTATCTATGGGAGCTTTGTGGGTTAACTAGGAATCAGTTTGCCAGAAAGAAAGGAATTAACTGCAATAGAGACTAAAATAATAGAGTGAATGGTATGCTCATCAACTCTCTCTAAATCATATTTCAGTGAACAATAAGGACAAAGGAAGAAAGTATAATTATTCAGATATGATGATCTCATTCATTTGTGGTATACAGAGAAAGAAAACAAAGGAATAGATTATCAAATGAGGACAAATTCTTGATCTTTGATTTTTAAACTGAAATTACCCAGCAACTGGGGAAGGAAGGGAAGGAATAGGTGGCCTGTAAGTGACCTAAGGACAGTAGTGAGGGTCTTGAGCACTTTGGTGATGGTGAAGGTCACGTAGCTTCATATATCAAATACTTGAAAATTAGCACTATGGTAGCTTTGTTATAGAAACTACAATTGGAAAGTTTGAGGGGACTGGAGAGATAGAACAGCATTTATGGTGCTTGCTTCACATGTAGCCTATTCTGGTTCAGTTCCTAGCAAAACATGGTCCTCAAACACCACCAGGATTGATCCTTGACCATCACCTGGTGTGGCTGCAACCTGCTGCCTCCCCCATCAAAATTTAGGTGTGATGGAGGGAATGGTCTTAGGCACTTTGGTAGTGGTGAGATTCAGTAACTGTGTACATTAAAACCACAAACATTAACACTACTGTAAACATGTTACCTTCAGCGGGCCCAGTAACTTCTCCATTGTGACAACTGTTACTGTGTTTGGCATATCTAATACATCATGGGTAGCTTGCCAGGCTTTGCTGTGCTGGCAAGATACTCTCGGTAGCTTGCTGGGCTCTCTGAGAGGGATGGAGGAATCGAACTCGGGTCAGCCATATTGGCTGCGTGCAAGGCAAACGCCCTACCCGCTATGCTATCGCTCCAGCCCAAACATGTTACCTAACTATAACAAAAAATTTAATAGTAAAGGAGCATTTCTTTCTTCATAAAATAGAAAAGAATAGAAAATTTTCAGATAAGGACTATAGACCAGAGGCAGAAATTTTTTAGAATCTGATTCTTAGATAAAATTTGTGAGTCTAACAAGTTACTCTTTCAAAGTTATTTTAGGTTGATACATCAACAAAACAAGTTTAGAATAAGTACAATGAAAGTAGAAAGAATTATCAAAAAATGTTTTTATATCTGATTCCTCCAAACACTTTGGTTTTTATAATTTGAGTTTTACATTGTTTAAGATGAGAGAACATTGATATATCCTATAACTATGAGCTGAGTGATAACGCAGCAGGTAGGGTGTTTGCCTTGCATGCGGCTGACCTGTCCAACCCAGGTTCAATTCCTCCACCCCTCTTGGAGAGCCTGGCAAGCTACCGAGAGTATCTCACCTGCACGGCAATCCCTGTGACGTATTCGATATGCCAAACACGTAACAAGTGTCGCAATGGAGATGTTACTGGGCCTGCTTGAGCAAATCGATGAACAATGGGAGGACAGTGACAGTGATGCTACAAGTATAAAAATTTTCCCGAGCCATAGTACAGCAGGTAGGGTGTTTGCCTTGCACACGGCCGACCCGGGTTGGATCCCCAGCATCCCATATGGTCCCCTGAGTACCGCCAGAAGTAATTCCGAGTGCAGGGTCAGAAATAACCCCTGAGCATCGCTGGGTGTGACCCAGAAAGCAAAAAAAAAAAAAATGTTGTAACTCCTCCCCCCCAAAATCTGAATCTTAGTGTAGAAAACTACAGAAAACAGCAGTATGTCAGCTAATAATTTGTTTTCAGAAATTTTACTAATATTAAGGATTTATTAGTAAAATTGATAGATTATAGCGGTATGATGAAGGAAAATTTGAGTATAGCTTTAACCTTTGGAAGTTATGCACAAAATTACTATCAAGCATTATTGATGGTATTCATTGCGAAATTAATTTAGCACTACCATGTGTTAAATGCTATACTAAACAATTTAATATTATCTCACATTTACCTAGACAGTGGTGCTCACAATTTGTTAAATGAAATTTAATGAAATATGTTTTGGCAAAATTAACACTTTGCATTTCTTTTCAGAGATGTGGTACTGGATCTTTCTCTGGGCTCTCTTCTCCTCTTTGTTTGTCCATGGTGCTGCTGGAGTGTTGATGTTCGTGATGCTACAAAGGCATAGGCAGGGAAGAGTAATCTCTGTCATTGCCATCAGCATCGGATTTCTGGCTTCTGTAACTGGAGCAATGATAACTAGTAAGTTGCTTTTGTTTTGTTTAAGGACATTATTTTATATGCATTTGTGGTTTTGGTAATTTTGTTCTTATTATAAATGTAGCTATATTATCTTTCATGTAAGTTTTTTTTTTAGCACTGGAAGCTAGAGATCATTTTATTAAACAGGTAGCTTTGTATTTTTGCTTTGTGAAGTTTTGATGGAAAATATAAAAACTCATAAAATAGGCAAAAGCAAAGCAATTCATGGGGAAATTTGTAGAGTATATAGTTTCTGTTTTAAATATGTTATCTGCCTAGTTAGGGAAATGGTAGGAATAAAAATATGATCGTGTAAAGTGAAAGTACAGGCTTTAGTCTTTATCATTTGACTAGGACTACAAAAGAACATATAAAGCACAGCATAGAATTATAAAAGTAAAAGCTGAACTGTATTAATATAAAGCTATAAATATAAATGTCCTTGTTAAACACAAAGTATTATGACAAAGATCTCCCCTGGCCATTAGAGTCTCTTCTGGCTGTTTACAAGTTTGCTAGTAAGTACTTATGATAAAAGTACTCTCATGTACTTTTCCTGCAGAACTTTTGGTTCCTTCTCAACATTGTGTTTAGTCCCCAGATTCAACTTAAGGTTCGAAGATTTAGTTATGGTTTCTACTGTGCTTGATAACCCAGAATGTAAACGCATCCTGTTGAGACTGTAGGGAGCCACAGCTGCTTTCTTAAATTGAATTCTCCCAGAAACTGGCTGTTTTGTTATCTGTTGATATTTGTCACTGCGAGAGAATAATAGAGGCTTATATTTCCATTCACTTCTGGTCTGTTTCCATATTCAAGGCCTCTCTATTTCCACTTGTTACTGTTTTTGGCATATCGAATATGCCACGGGGAGCTTGCCAGGCTCTGCCGTGCGGGCGGGATACTCTCAGTAGCTTGCCAGGCGCTCTGACAATGGAGACATTACTGGTGCCTGCTCGAGCAAATCAATGAACAACAGGAGGACAGTGCTACAGTGCTATTTCCACTGAATCTGTTTCAAGACTCTTCAAGAAGGAAAGGACTTTCCCCTTCTAATTCTATATCTAGACCTAGAGATAAGAAAAAGACCCTTTTCCTCTGGTTCATAAGACTCCTTCCTATTTTTCCCATAATCACCTTTTCCCAGAGTGACTGATCTTGAGAGAAAAGCCCTATTCCATTTAACTATGTCCAGTCTCACAAAAATGTTGTGGGAAATAGTAAGTGATCTTATTTTCTCATTCTTTCTTCACCTACTACTTGGTTTTACTCTTACGATCTTGTGTTAAGCTCTTTGATTGCTTCTGTTACTGCATCCAGCCTCTAACTTTACTGAATGGTCCTTTTTCCCTTTTGCTGTAAATACAGTAGAATTGAAGCCTATAGACCATGGAAAACAAGTATTTTTCAAGAGTTTTGACAATGACAAAACAGTTTTTAAAGAAAGTTCATTACATAACTGGATGTAGAATATAGCTTACATATAAAATACATCTTACACAGCAAGTGAAAATTCCAAAATAGCAGGAACCTTGTCTGTTTTCATCATTGCTACGTACTGAGAGCATGATAGATACTAAAAAAATACTGGGTGGATGGATTATGAGAGTAAAGAATGAAAGGAAGGAAGAAGGGAAGGCATTTGCCTTGCACGAGGCCAACCCGGGTTCAGTTCCCAGCATCCCATATGGTCCCTCGAGCACCGCCAGGAGTAATTTCTGAGTGCATGAGCCAGGAGTATCCCCTGTGCATTGTTGGGTGTGACCCAAAAAAGAAAAAAAATGGTGACAGAGGAGGAATTAAGGCATTAAGTGTAACATGAACTTGAAACTGAGATATGATCTAGAGTAACAGCAGGTGGGGAGAGGAGTTGGTAAGAACTGTATGTGGCATAAGGAAAAAATTAGTTACTATTTACTGTGTTGGCATACAAAGAGAGTGAAAGGGACTGCAAATGTTTTTGATGTGGGCCACACTTGTATCTGTGTGTAGAACAGTGAACAGAGGAGAAGAAACAGTTTACTGAGAAGTTATAAGTAGGTATTTATATACATATATATTTATAAATTCTGGGAAAACTTTAAAGAGACCATGAGAGGGATAGTACAGCAAGTATTTTTTAGGGTGCTAGCCTCGCATGTGGCTGACCCAGGTTCAATCTCTGGTACTACATACAGTTCCCTGAGTACTGCCAGGAGTGATCCCTGAGCACAGAGCCAGGTGTAAGCCCTGAGCACTGCCAGGAGTGGCCCAAGTGCCAAAATAAAGCAAGCATGAAAAATATTATTTTACATCCATTTATTTCTAACAGTGTGTATATATTATTTTCAATTCAGTCATACTATATTTTGCTTCTATTTAGATTTATTTCCAGAGTAACTTTCAATTTTAGTTGCACTGAGGTCTAGATATTTCGATATATTTTCTTTTGTTAGTTTTACAGTCTTTTACATTAAGATCTAATTTAGTACAGGAAATATTTTCTTAAAGGTCAGAAAATGTTTTCTTAAAAGGCTATCTAGTATTGGCGGGGGTGGGGGTGGGGTGGGAGGGGTGCCCCCAAGCAGAGCTCAAAGGGCCCAGGACCTATGCCAAGTTAACCTGGCCATTGGTTTAGTGTGAAAACTGGAGGATGTGGTGCTGCTCAATCTCTGTGCTGCTGGAGATTGTTGTCTGGGCTACTCTGGCCCTGCCCAGTGCTTCCAGGGCTATACCCAGTCATGCCTGGGGGCCATGTCATGCTGGGAATTACACTGTGTAGCTTCATGCAAGCCCCAGACCTTAACCCTTATAGTAGCTCTCTGACCCTAGAAATTATTCGTTTATTTGTTTATTTTATTGAATCACCAAGAGCTACGGTAACAAAACTTTCATGCATCCCTCCACCAGTGTACATTTTCCACCACTAGTGTCCCCAGTATCCATCCCCCCATCCCACTCTCTCCCTGCCTCTACGGTAGACAGTTTCCCTCATATTCTCTCTCTCTCTCTCTCTCTCTCTCTCTCTCTCTCTCTCTTTCTCTTTCTCTTTCTCTCTCTCTCCCTCCCCTTTTGGGCATTGTGGTTTACAGTAAAGATAATGAGAGGTCATCACTGATCCTTTATCTACTTTCAGCAGACATCTCCCATCCCGAGCAATCCCTTTGGCCATCATTGACTTAATGTTCCCTTCCCTATCCCAGCTGCCTTCTCCCCCATCTCATAAGGCAGGATTCCAACCATGGAGCAATCTTCCTGACTCTTGGCTCCACTGTCCTTGGGTGTTAGTCTCATACTATGTTTTTTATATTCTACAAGTGAGTGCAGTCTTTCTATATCTGTCCCTCTCCTTCTGAGTCATTTCACTTAGCATGATACTCTCTGTGACCATCCACTTATAAGTAAATTTCATGACTTCATCTTTCCTAACAGATGAATAGTATTCCATTGTGTAGATGGAATACTAAAGTTTCTTTAACCAGTCATCTGTTCTTGGGTTCTCAGATTGTTTCTAGAATCTGGGTATTGTTAACAGTTGCTACAATGAACTTGGGCTGGAGTGATAGCACAGCGGTAGGGCGTTTGCCTTGCACGCAGCCAACATGGCCGACCCGAGTTCGATTCCTCCGCCCTTCTCAGAGAGCCAGGCAATCTACTGAGAGTATCTCGCCCGCACGGCAGAGCCTGGCAAGCTACCCGTGATGTTTTCGATATGCTAAACACAGTAACAACAAAGTCTCCAATGGATACGTTCCTGGGCCTGCTCGAGCAAATCGATGAACAACGGAAGGACAGTGACAGTGACAATGAACATACAGGTGGATCTCCATACATCTGTCATTTCTACTGTGCTTTTTTTTGCACCCTTGGGATATATTCCCAGAAGTGTTATTGCTGCGTAATATGGAAGCTCAATTTCTAGTTGTTTTTTTTTTTTTAAGGAATGCCCATATTGTTTTCCAAAAAGGCTGGACTGCTGGCATTCCCACCAACCTAAATTAAAGAGAGTCCCTTTCTCCCCACATCCACACCAGCACTAGTTGTTCTTGTTCTTTTTGATGTGTGCCAGTCTCTGTGGTGTGAGATGGTATCTCATTGTTGTTTTGATTTACATCTCCCTGATGATTAGTAAGGTAGAACATTTTTTCACATGCTTTTTGACCATTTGTATTTCTTTTTTTTTTTTCTTTTTAGGTCACACCCTGCAATGCACAGGGTTTACTCCTGGTTCATGCCCTCAGGAATTACTCCTGGCCATGCTTGGGGGATCATATGGGATGCTGGGAATCGAACCCAGGTCGGGCCGCATGCAAGGCAAACACCCTACTCGCTGTGCTATCACTCCAGCCCCTCCCTGTATTTCATTTTTGAGGAAGCTTCTGTTCATTTCTTCTCCCCACTTTTTGATGGGGTTGAAGGTTTTTTCTTGTACAATTCTACTAATGTCTTGTATATCCTGGGTATTCACCCCTTATCTGATGGATATTGGGTATATATTTTTCCATACCGTGGGTTCTGTCTGTGTTTTGGTCACTGTTTCTTTTGAGGTGCAGAAGCTTCTCAGTTTAATGTAGTCCCATTTGTTTGTTTGTTTCTGCTCACTTGGTCAGTGGTGTTTCATCCTTAAAGATGGCATTAGTTTCAGTGTCATGGAGGGTTGTGCCTACATTTTCCTCCATGTACTTTATGGATTCAGGTCTGATATTGAGGTCTTTGGAGCTGGAGCGATAGCACAGCGGTAGGGTGTTTGCCTTGCACACAGCCAACATGGCCGACCTGAGTTCGATTCCTCCGCCCCTCTCGGAGAGCCCGGCAAGCTACCGAGAGTATCTCGCCCGCACGGCAGAGCCTGGCAAGCTCCCCGTGACGTATTCGATATGCCAAACACAGTAACAACAAAGTCTCCAATGGCGACATTACTGGGCCCGCTCGAGGCCTTACTATTGAGGTCTTTAATCCACTTTGATCTGACTTTTGTGCCTGGTGTTAGACAGAGGTCAGTGTTCAATTTTTTGCAGGTA